TGCTCTTCCCCCTGCTGCAGGTGCAGAGCAGAAGAACCTGGCATGAAGGTGCTGGACGTTTCCGTACGCACGTGGTGATGAGCAGCCTTGCGGCAGCATCACAGATGTCCTTCCCTGGCTGGATCTTCAATATTTCTCGGAGACCGACACAGTAGTAGGTGAAACGGAAAACCATAGCCTAGGATGGTATTATATCAGGCCAACTGAAATAATTACATCCTCCTGGTCCCATAATAGGACACTAATTGAAGAACTGCCCGAGTAAAGTCAGCGAGAACGGGACCCTATTGTTCTGCGAGTGAGTTGAAAGATAGCTATTTTTTCCTTTACAGGAAATTTTTGAGGGGAGGGGGAAGAGAAAGAATGTTCTTTACACTTTCTTCAATATCTTTTTTTATTTGTGGTTTTGTTTTCTGCAACTGCCTTTGTTGAAAAAAAAATGATTCTTATAAAAAATTATTTTTAATTTTCAAAAAAGAACCCTTTTACTAAAAGCCAATTTTCTTTTTTTCTTTTTTTTTAAAAGAACTACTTTAACTCAAAAAAATCTTTTCAGTTTATTTGGTTTTATTGAAAAAGCAGAAAATTTCAACCAATTTTCATTTTAGATGAAAAGCTCTTTCTCATTTGGAAAAAATGTTCTGATGGGAAAAATTCAAGCGGCTCGAGTTCCAATCTTTCACTGAGAGCTGTATGTGGGCGGATTCCCCAGGCCACGTGGAGCTCATTACAAGATCAGACACTCCGTTTGTAACTTAATTAAGTGACTGGATATGTTATTCAGACAAGTGCATTGTCAGAATTAAGCTTGAGTTGGTACCATGCTTTCTGTAGCCATAATGCTCTAGGACGGCTATGAAAACGCAGCGAGATGCCAGTTTGCATTACTAAAACAGGTCGAGCTGCAGATGTTGAATTATTTGGTCCTCGTTTGGCTCCGTTTGGGAGTCCAGGTTAGCTGCAGTGAAGACACACCCGGAGCGTATAAATGTGGCGTTTAGGCACAGCGCCGCTTAATGCCTTAAACATGTTGAGGTTGTTCTCAGGAACACGTTGTATGTGATGGCCGTGATGTTCGGGGAGAGCTCTATTTACTTTGGAAGGATGATGAGCTTTTGTCAAAAATACTTATTGTTGCTGTGAGCCTGAAATACCTTTGCAAGTGGAAAATAGAGATGTCTCCATGAAGTCTATTATGATAAACCCTGGGCAGTTGCCCCAGTGGCCTGAGAGCACATCCTCAGGAAGCCTTGATGTCTTATCTACTGGAGAGCACGAGAGAGACGTTAAAAAAAGAGAGAAAAAGGAGAAAAAAAAAGAACAAAAATGGTGCCATTTTGGTTTTATTGCAAATGTCCCAGCCAGGGAGAGTTTCCCTGTGAGCCCTGGCTGCGTGGTGGCCCCGTCCTGCAGCAGGGTGATGTCCCAGCCCTCGGGCCAGCAGCGAGGGCATCGCTCGGCCTCCTGCAGCGCTTGGCCGGGGGCTGCTGCAGTGACAGCATCGCTGCCCGGAGCTGCTGCAGTGACAGCATCGCTGCCCGGAGCTGCTCCCTTGGCCGGGGCCAGGCTGGGGCCGGGAGATGCGTCTGCTCCTCCCTATCCCAAAAATCCCGCTCCGCTCGCCACGGACCTGGGAAGGAGCCCTGAGCATCCTGGGGGGCAGGGCTGATTTTGGGGGGTTGGGATGTGGTCCAGAATGTGCCCCCCAAAGGCAGAGGAAGTGCCCTGCTGAAGAAGGAATAAATAGCTCTAAATATTAGCTATAAATAGCTCCTTACCTCCAAAAATAAAATCCCTTAGTGATACCAAAATAAGAAAGCAAAGGAAAGTCGGAGGTATTTGGCCTTCCTTTGAAAAGGAAGCTAAAAATAACTATATATATAAAAATCTCTCGTTTCTAGGGAAAGTCTCTGCCCCCGCATCCAGCTTGTACAGTTATATAAGACTTGAACTATATCCCCCTTCTCCTCCATGGCCACTTGCAAAGCGCTGGGAGCAGCAGCCAGATGGAGAAAGGTTCCATCAGGAAAGTTTAACTCAGCCGTGAAGCTGCAGCCAATGGAGGACACGATTCTCTCGCTGAACTCTCCAAAAGCCTTGGAAATCTTACAGTTGTGTCATATGCTGGTTTGGGGAATGCTCGCAGTGCCGAGGCCGCCGCCAGCCCTCTCTCACTCATTTTTTTTTCTTCTTCTTTGCTTTGCACTGAGTTTAATTTGGGTAGCAGGATTCAGCATTTTTAAGTTGGAAAAAACTTGGTGGAAGAAGATATTTTAGGAAAACCCTGTCATGTGAACTAGCGGGAGCCGATCAAACTGAGCTATTAAAAGAAAGACATTGTATTTTTAACTGGTGCAGCCTAGGGAAGCCAACCTGTGTGCCATAACCGCCGAGCTCCCCCGATTATAGCTCGGCGTGGGCGGAGGAGAAGCTTTCCGTCGGGGTAGCCCATTCTCCGCTCGCTCTGGGATACCCTTTGGCAGCACGTGGCACCCGCAGGGCTCCCCAGCTGCTCTCCTCGCCCCCCCTGCACACAGCTCACCCCTTCCTTAATTATTTCCCTCACCCCTTCCTTAATTATTTCCCTCACCCCTTCCTTAATTATTTCCCTCAGCCCTGCGTTGATATTAACCCTCGCTGCTGCTTTCTCAGGGCGGCTATTGCAGGTGATGCTGGGGGTTGAGTTTGGTGCCATGGTCAGGTTGGACGGGCATGGAGGGAGCTCAGGCAGAAGTTCTGCATTTCTGTCTGAGCAAACAGTTACCTACAGGTCCCCTTAATATTTTTGCAACAGAGATCAAGTTGCTGCAACTTCACTTTAAAGCAGCAATGGATGCAAGTAGTGGGTCCGGGCTTGAGCTGGCTTGTAGAGCGAAAATAGATGTTAGGCTTTAATAGGCAGGAGACCTAGTATTTATTAAATGGCACAGAGCCTCGCAGGCGGTGACTGTGCCCAGGGCTCACATAGGAGCAGCACCAGTGCAGCTGGGCTCCTCTTGTGACCATCGTGGCTTCAGAGTGGTCTGTTTTGGAGGGCTGTTAATACACAGAGCTCCTAGGTTTGAGCATAGGGGTTTTTGCCTTTTTGAGCCCACTGCAATAAGTCCCTGGGGCTCAGGGGGTGCTTCTGTAGAGCCTGGCATGGAATAACCAAGAGAAAAGCACTGCAAATAGCAAAGATTGTTAACAGCCTTAGTGCTCAGAGAGCAAAAAGCATCAGAGGTCTCTAATGGCACGGGGGTTTCTGTGGGGATGGAAGGAAGGGCCTTCCAGACAGCCTATTCCTCGGGGTGCCAGGGTGGCTGGGAGCCAGGCTCCATCAGGGAGCCTCCCTTGGTGCTGGTGCTTCTGCGTTAGCTGATCTGGGACCCCCGTGGCCACGGGCCATCCCTGAGGACGGGCTCCCTCTCCCCGTGAGGGTCACTGCAAGTGTGTTACATAACAGGCCCGTGGAGCCGGGGAAGGTATTTCCGCCTCAGCATGTCCAAAAATGAGCCAGGCTAGGAAAGTGAGGTGCGCTGAGTTTCCCTGGCCGGCCTGCAGTTGCTAGCCTGCGAGACAACAAACTCGAGAAGCAGAAAGTTTGATTGTGATACCTCCTTCGAGTCGATTTTGGGACTCAGGGAGTGAAAAATGGAAATGTCGTGCGGGTGCCAGCCAGCCCTCCATGCAGCTCCAGGCCAAGTCCATCTGCAAAGTGACTCACTCCCGGCTGCTGCCCGAGACGCTGACCCCACGGCCATCCCTATTGAAAATGTACATGCCGAAGGCTGGTGGGATTATACACAAACGCTGAGCATCTGCAGAGCTGTCAAGGTCCCAGATGAAGCATTTTATATATCTGAACTCTTGATCTCTTCTGGAAGAAATATATGTAAGTCCAGTTGCATGCAGCCCCTGCATCCAGGAAAGAATCAAGGCAGATGCTTGTTAACATTAACAGTGAAAACTATACATTGTAAGACAGCACACGATGTCTTTGACTTTATTTTCCTGTTTTCTTTTGCTTTATTTTCCTGTTTATACATAGTACGTGTAAACACAGGAGGGTTGTCTTGGTTTCGGAGGCTTCCTTGGCTATTTCATTCTTGCTGAGCTCCACGTGTATCAGTGGAAAGCCGTGGGGTTGCTCCTCTCGCTTTCTAAATGAGCTAAAAATAGCAGCAGCGAGAGGTCTGTGAAATGCCACTAAACAAATTAACCGATTTTTTCTTTTTTTCATCTTCTGGGTAAAGAATTGAACCAGTGGTAATTAGAAGCCAAAGCCAGTGCCAGTAACGAGATGGGTATTAATAGGGTGCTGGCAAATAGAAAGACATAAATACAAGCTTGGGACTTGAGTTTTCTGAATGATTTATTCAAAGGTAAAAGCAGCAGCAGCCCGAGCTTGTCTCTGCTGGGAAGAAGGAAAACTTCTGCACAGAAGCCCTGTTGCTTTGAAAGGTTTTGCAGTGCCTGCAAGTTTTGTTTAAAGAGCACACTCTGGGATTTTAACATCATCCATATTTCTTTCTTTCTCGCTCTCTAACTTTCTGCTCAACAATTAAGTGCTTGTGCTGCAGACTGAGAAAGCCGCAGAGCTGCCTTGGCCCGGAGCTGGGAGACGTCATGGATTCCTGAATGTGAAGTTTGCAGGAAAGCCCTCAGTTTGGGAGATGGAGGCGATCCAAGGGTTTCCATGGCACTGGGATAAACAGGAGGAAACAGTGAGGGAATCCCGTTATTTTACAGCATTCAAAGACTATAAACACTCGGAGCAGGGAAGGAAGTGGCCTTTCCCTCTCTAGTAACCCTCATCTCAGAGCAGAGAACTGACTTCACTTCAGGAACAAGCTCAGCCCAGTTCGGATCCCTCTTTGCACCTCCAAACGCTTACGGAGGAGGCGAGCAAGAGGGGTTCCCTCTGGCCGGGCAGCATTGGTTGAACATGGTTTAAAGAAGATTTTTTATTATTATTATTTTTTCTCCTACTATTGATTTTTATTTTTTTTTAATTCCCGATGCAGAGAGAAACTGCCTGTAGGCTGGTACCCTACCACCACATCATGAGGTCTATGGATCAAGGTAGGATCTTGCAGCTCCTGGCTGTGTGCGGTGTGGTGTGTGTGTGTGTGTGTGTCCCGCAGCGGCAGCCCCGGCCCGGGGGGCTCTGCGCCCCTCGCTGTCCTGCCCACGGGCTTGATCCAGATATGTGGGGTGGGCAGGGAAAGTTCGTGGCAAGAAGGTCCCTCAGGGAAGGGACCGAGCGGGGTTTAGGTTGGGGTTGGAGCGCTCTGCGGCGGCGATACAACTCGGTCTGGCAAAACCTCCTTTACGCTCCAGCCAGGGGACTCTCCTCTTCCCCGGCATCACTGGGGGATCCCGCTTGCTGACCCCCCGGCCGCTTAACCCTTCCGCTCCCTGTCCCGCTCGGCGCCTCGGGCTGTGACAGGCGCCTTGCGCGGGCTCCGCTGCCCTCGGCACGAGCCCGGTTCCGTCGGG